CCCGCACCTCTCATCCACACAGCTATTATCAGGGAATTTCTCTTTTCTAGAACTAGATGTCAGTGGGGGATCTCCTTTCACACACTCATATCCATCTTCTATTTTCCTTTCCATATCTCTTTCACACTCTTTCCCCTGAGTCCTTTCCAATGCCGCTCCACACCTCTTTGTCCATAGCCGAGTACACGTCGCGCCAACTCGCTTTCTAACATCTCCCCCCCCCTTCTTCCCCGTCTCCTTTTTAATGGCACAGCCTCCTACTTTCTTATCTCCCCCCTTTTTTGTTCCGATGTAATTATCATTGCAAATGCAATGATCAGGGGTTGCGATCTTTTCCCTTTCCCTTTCCCAGTCAGTCATCTGTCTCTCAGCACCCCCCTCATTCACTTTCCCCGTCTCTTTCTCGATGGTGCAGCTTTTCCCTTTCTTTCTCCTCCCCTGTAATTCGGGTCCGATGTAGTTGTCATCGCAGACACGGAGGTCGGGGGTTGCAGTCGCGATCCTCCCCTTTCTTCCTCTGCTGGTGTCTTCCGTCTGCCTGCCATCACACAGACCGTTCGGCTTGTTCCGTTCCCCTCCCCAATGCATTCTTGTTGGAGTCTGAGATCCGAGGCCGGGGATTGCAATAATAGTCCTCCCCTTTCTCCCTCGTTTGGTGTCTTCCGTCTGCCTAGCATCACATGGATCGCTCAGCTTGCTCCGTTCTCCTCCCCAATATGTTCGTGCTGGAGTCTGACGTCCATACGGCAGATGGGTCATCATCTCCTGCCGGGTTGGGGGGGTAGTAATAGCTCCCTCCTCCTCTTGATGGGGTGGGGGGTCTTGGGCTTCGGTCAGGACGGTCCATTGCTTTTGATCGATCCATGGGCTCCTATCGAGCCGTGCTAGGCTTTCTGGTTGCCTAGGGTGAGGCGTGTTGGTTTTTGGAGCATAGCCTCCCCTTTTTATTCCGTGCAATGTCTCCTCGGTCTCCTGGGGATATTCGCCGGTTCTGGGGGGTGGGGAGTCCCCGGGATGCCATTCATGTTTCCCTAGGGTGTCGGTTGTTCGTTGGGAATGACACGGGGGTTGGGGGGGTTTCTTTAATATTCTGCCAGCTCGTGCGTTCGATGGTTCCACGGGCTGTTTACAATGGGATGGGGGGCCCATACACCAAGTTCTTAAAGATAGATGCGCTGGGCAGAGATCAATGTGGCGATTGATGGAATCATTGTTGGATAGCCACGCCTCCTTAAGTAGGCGGCCACCCTTCGTACCATCACTGGCCAGAACCTGCGCACCCCCAAAATCAAACCGATGCCCCGTCTCTGTCATATGCGTCCATAACTGCGAGTATTGTTCCCCTCTTCTAATCGCTAATTTATGCTCCTGTATTCTAGTTTTCAATCTTTTTGAGGTCTCCCCAACATAGTTATTGGAGCAGTCTCTACAGTTGATTCTATAGATTATTGATGACTTTTCTATGTTGGGGAGCAGATCTTTTGGGCGCATAATGGCAGTACGTAGCATCTGGGTGGGCTTGTGAGCTATTTTTACATTATGGGGTGCCAAGATTCTGGTCGTAGCCTCCGAAACATTGCAAATATAGGGGAGGGCAACAAGTGTCATTCTTGGGGTAGGTTCCTCCGTGCGTAGGTTCTCTCGGGGTTCAGGTGGCACACAGTGTCGCCTAATGAACCTCGTGGGGTATCCATTATATTTGAACACACGGAAGAGATGATTCTTCTCTTCAATTCTAGCATTATCAGAGCTACAGTGAGAGTCCACTCGCTTGAAGAGGGTTCTAAGACAGCTGACCTTATGGGCCACCGGATGGTTGCTTCTATAATGAAGCACCCTATCCGTGCAGGTTGGTTTTCGGTATACTCTGGTGCTAAGGGTTCCATCCAGCTGACGGGTGACCAACACGTCTAAAAACGCTAGAGAGCCCTGATTTTCTTCCTCGATCGTAAATTGGATATCCGGGTATACTGAATTCAATATGCCCATACAGTCAGCCTTTCGATCCCTCTTGATGACGGTGAATGTGTCATCCACATAGCGGGCCCAAAACTTAGGTCGATGTTGGGCCATCGCTCCAATCGTTGTAACACCACCTCCGCAACCACACTGGAAAT